TTTCCTATTTCCCACTCCTCAGGCCGATGTCAAGTGTGGGCCGGCCTATCCAAACGCTGCCTGAGAGCCAGGGACTTAGCTCAGTGGTGCCTCCGCCTGCCTCGCAAGTGCAAGGACCCGAGTTCGATCCCCGATACCAAAAACAAACAAACAAACAAACAAACAAAAAACTCTGCTTGCTCCTGAGAGAAATAGAAGACACCGTGTTCTGATTGGGCCCAGAAATGAGGCTTGGGAAACAGTTCTGTGCTTGTGTCCTGGGACTCCATGATTGATGGGGTCATGTCCACTTGCTCAACCAGTTTTGTTATGCCCTAATCTCCTGCCTCAAGACCCTAAATTAGAATCGCTCTGAGGACAGACACTCCCTGCACTCCTGTGAGGTGATAAGTGTTGGCTGTTGTTTTCTTTTCTTTTCTTTTCTCCCCCCACCACCAGGGCTTGAACTGAGGACCTTGTGCCTCTGAGGCAGGTGGCGGTGCCATTGAGCTAAATCCCCAGCCTGGCTGTTGTTTTCAGCTGTTAAATTTTGTTACACAGCTGTAGGTAAAGTAATACAGCATCACATCATGATGCTTATGATATAAGTTGAACCTCTAAATAATATAAGGGAAATATAACTTCTAACCTGCTGGATATCCAACACACCGAGTTTTCGTGTTCTCTAAAGAATGAATTCTAGGAACAACGGAGGTTGAGTAGGAAGAATTTATGGAGAGAAACAGCTTCTGTCTAAGAGAGACAGAGGGGGACCGGAAAGTAGGTAGCCCACCGACACTGCTTCTCAGGAGTGTTTTACTGAGCAAAGCCAGGAGGGGAGGCGGGTTTAAGGTGGGACAAAACTATAGTCAACCAATAAGATTACAGCTGAAGCAGAAAATCGTGAGGACCCCAACATAGATAACTCTTTGAACACGAAGATAGGAGGAAAGAGCAGCTTTTAATGTTGCCAGCGGCTCAGCGAGTGACTCCTGTCAGTCTCAAGAGCTCTGAACAGAAGTTTGTGCTTCCTTATGTATCTCTTTTTACACATACAAGGCTTGATTCCATTGGCATTCCTCTGGGCATAGAGCAAGCAGGATTTACTCAAAGCAGAGCCGTGAAGAAGGGGAGGGCGAAGAGTTGTGGCAGGACTTTCTGAGTCACTTACACTTCTTTGGTGACGGGTGACAGGTTATCATGGCTCCTCAGGTGCGTTTTACAAAGAGCATAGTTACCTACATAATCCACACTCGCCTGACAGCACAGTCAACCCGTAGTTGCCCAATTCCATACGTAGGGGTGGTCTCCTCTCTCACAACTATAGGCCCTTCAGTAATACTGATTAGTGGGGATCAAATGGGGAAGCAAGTTGAGTAGCAAGCGGAATGAACCGGGATTTTTCTGAGAATGAATGGGCTAGGGAGGTTTGGGTCCCTACACAAGGTAATTGATGCCTATTTAGACTATCAAGCAAGCCTGGCGTGGTAATGCATGCCTGTAATCCCAGTACTCTGGAGGCTGAGGCAGGAGGATAACTGCAAGTTCAAGGCCAGCCTGGGTTTAGCTGGGCGTGGTGGTGCACGCCCGTAATCCCAGCACTTGGGAGGCTGAGGCGGGAGGATCACTGTGAGTTCGAGACCAGCCTGGGCTACAAAGTGAGTTCCAGGTCAGTCTCAACAACATAGTGAGACCCTGTCTCAAAAAACCAAAATAAATAAATAAGATAGAATATCAATCACTGCTGTTCATCCCTAGGGGGTGTAGTTGATCCTCTTTTTCTTGAAGCCTGGCCTTCGGTGAATGAGCCTCAGGCCACACTGTCTTCTGTGCTCAGGGCCAGGCCCTGCCTAACTGCCTTATAATATTTTCTGACTAGTTTAGCTACCTACAATACGTGCACAAGAGTGTTTCTTGCCCCTGACAAGTGTGGGCTCTGGAGACTCATTTCCTAGGTGCTGGCCCAGCTGCAGGCCTGCCTCCAAAACTGATGATTGTGAGCCAGGCCTGGTGCCACACACCTGTAATTCCAGCATTCAGGAGGCTGAGGCAGGAGGATCTCCATTAGTTCAAGGCCAGCCTCAACTACATAGTAAGACCCTATCTCAAAAGACCAAAACAAACAAAGAAGTTGGTGTTAGATTTCCCTTGCCTAAAGATGGCTGCTACATGGAATAGCAGCCTCCATGTTAAACTATGGCTTCTTCTTCCCATCATGCCTCTTCTCCCACCACAAGATTAATCTGATACTTGCTACCTCCTAGCAGTTAGTGATGTCACGAGCCCCTCCTGGCGATGATGTCACGTTAATACTCCCTCACTCAGCTCCACCGCAGCTCAGGCTAACCCCACCCTGCTCCTATAAAAGAAGCTCCCTGTCCCTGCCATGTGGCTCTCTCTCCCTTGTTCAGAGACAGCCCGGCAGATCCTCCCCGTAAGAAAGGCTTCTTATGGTCCTGGTCTGGTCCTGGTTTTCAGCTCTTTCTACCTAACAGTTGGGTGTTTAAAGCTCCAAGGTTCACAACCCAAAGCAGAGCTCATACTTGTCCAGGTATCTGGGATGCATCCCGGGGAGGAGAGCTTGCCAATCGGAAGTGGGCTGCAGCTCTCCATTTTTATTTATTTATAAATAAATACAACTCGGGTCCTTGCACTTTCGAGGCAGGGGGAAGCACCACTGAGCTAAATTCCAGCCCACCCCGTCTTTTTTTAGCATCCAAGGTTCTGGGGTAAGTTGCAGGGACAGCAGTCAGAGCTTGTTAGAAATTCAAATTCTAAACCTGGCGTGGAGCCAGGCATGATGAGGCCCCCTGTAATCCCAGCACTTTAGGAGGCTGAGGTAGGAGTATCCTCATGAGTTCAAGGCCAGGCCAAACTACATAGCAAAAAGCAAAAAACAAACAAAAAAGAAACAAACTCTAGCTAGGCCTGTAGCTCAGTGACGCAGCACTTTTGTAGCATGCCTGAGGGCCTGGGGTCCCAATAAACAAAAGAAATGCAGATTGTCAGGCCCTGCAGGCCTACTCAGACTGAAACTGTTTTAATAAGCTCTCTGGGGGGTCACTGGCACTGCAGGTGTGAGGATTTGCAAATTCTTTCCCCAGGGCCTGGAGCTATATCTCAGGTGTGGAGGAGTTCTGCCCCCAGCATCACAAAAGAAAACAAAGCTACCCTCTCTCACCACTTGGTGCATCTTCCCTCTTTCCACTCCTCGGGGAGACCAGAGCCCCTCTGCTGTGGGGATCCTAGGCTGGGCCCGGTGGAGGGAGCAGAAACTGGAGCAGACAGACTTCCAGAGCACAGATCAGCCACACTCTAACGTGAGTCCTATACTCTTCAGATAGAGTGGACAGTCTCACTTCTCAGCCTTTTGAGATCAAGTGGAAATAGAGCGGACACACATATGTACAAACCACATTGTTTCGGGGCCGGGGATGTAGCTCAGTGGTTCCGGCGCCTGCCTCACAAGCACAAGGGCCTGAGTTCGATCCCCGGTACCAAAAAAAAAAAAATTGTTTCTCTGGTGTGAGAAGCCAAAAGTGGAACTTGTGATCAAAATGTATAGTAGATATTGGGAAATGGGGAGGGAATGTTCAAATGAAAGGGGAACAAGGGCCGGGGGAGAGGGAAAGGAAGGAGGGACAAGAAAAAAGAAGAGAAAAAATGGCAACAAAGCTTATGGAAATAAGGAGGGGAAGAGGGGTTGAGAAGAGGAGAGAGGAATGGGGAAAAAAGCAGCAAGATATATCATGTCCAGGTACAAATCCCCTATGATGAATGTGGTCATTGTGTATATGTAAAACGTACTATTGTAGATAGAGGTAAATGAAAGGGGGTTCGCGTGCCCTTTCGGGTGCCCCTTCCCAATTAGGCCAGTCACGCACCGAGAGGTCCGGCAGGAGATCTTTATTGTAGGGAGGCGAGCAGGAGGCAGGAAGGCAGAGAGAGAGGAGGAAGAAGAAGCAGAAGGAGAGAGAGAACAAAGAAAGGAAGGTCCTTTTATCAGTTTTGGGGTGGGCTATTTATTTATGAGGAGTGGGCTACTTTTAACCTATCACAGGCCAGATTGCTTGTATGGGCCCAGTCCCGCAGACACAGGTTTCAACTTTCCTGGACCACTGTGGCCTTGGAGGGGAGAAACCAGAGATAAGGGCATGAGGTCATTTTAGGAGCCAAGATGTACCAGGAGAATGCAGCCTGTGAGGCGGCGTCACAGCATACTTTAACATGATCAATTCCCAAACAGTAAATTAATTAGATATCTTGGAGGCAGTTAGACAGGGCCGCCCTCCAGGAGCCAACATGGAGGACAATGGACACACTCGCTGTGGCCAGCATTGCAAAAGGAAACTGCCATACAAGGTAAATAGCAGTGACCGATACTCTAAATAGCTATCAGACACCTGGGTGGGGGACCGAGATCCCTGACCCAACCCTTACCAAAAATCCTTGCACAGTTCCTAGTACACTTGCTACATGACTCGCTTCCCCATTGGATCCCCATTTAATCAATATTACCTAAGTGGCTATACTTGGAATCTTATTGGTTGATCATAGTTTTGCCCACCTTGGGATTTCTCAATGGATCAGTAAGCGACTGTACTTGCAATCTTACTAGGTGACTAGTTTTGTCCCACCTTTGAGAAGCAGGGTGGGCAGGCAACCCATTTTCTGGTCTCCCTTCTGTCTCTCTTACAAAGTATCTTTCACAGTTTTCCTGCTCTTAACCCCCGTTATTCTTAGAATTCATTCTTCAGTTTTACTATTCATCCTTAGGTGAAGCCTGCTGGTTTGGTAGCTTCTCTCCTTTTACAGTGCTGGCCATCAGTGAATGTGTATTCATTGTCCTCCATGATGGTGCCTCGAGGGCCAGCCCCGTCTAACTGCCTACAAGATATCAAATTAACTTATCTACAGGGTGGCCAGGATTTAGCGTAGTGGCACCACGCCTGCCTGACAAGCGCAAGGTCTTGACCCGGTTGGTAATGAAATGATTAATGAATATGCTCTTTAATTCCAAGGTACAGTTTGACAAGATAGAAAAACCCACAACACTGCAGGCAGCTGATGCAGGTGCTGTCTCTGCCCGACAAAAGCCGTGCTATCTCGGAGCAGAGAGAACACAGGACACAGGATGGGATGTTCCCACCGAATAGATACCAACTGCAAAGTCCGGCATCTTTTCGGTGCGGAGTCACCTGAAAATAGCCACACACCTGCCTTGATGGCTGCATGGATCCGACCACACTTATTTGCTCTGACCACTACAGGTGATAAAACACACCAGACCCCTGCCCTATAAAGTTTCCTGCCTTTTGTTTGATGAATAAAGTCTGTGCCTCTTTGTTTTCACCAGCCTGCTAGAGTGGCCTCACTGAGTTCAATTCCCGGTTCCACTGGATCGAATGAGGACAGGAAAATAAGCCTGTGCATGTTCAGCACAGATGTGACTGTGTGTGTGATTTTGTTTTTTGTTTGGGGTTTAGGACATGGGATGGGAAATGGCTGTGATCTTCCTTTTTTTCCCAGAACGTGTTCAATCTGCCAAGGGTTGAATCCATGGGTGGGGAGCCCACGGATACAGAAGGCTGACGGTATGGCTGTTCTTTCTCGAATGCGGTTGCAAAATGGGAATTTGCTGTTTTGAATGAACATGTGGGGGTGGGGTGGGGGGTGTGGTGCCAGCCCTCAAGCCCAGGGCCTCGGGTGTGCTAGGCAGGGCTGTACCACGGGGCTGCACCTCGAAGCCCCAGCATGCTGTACCGTAGTCATTTTTTGGTTTTGTTTTTGGTACCCGGGATCGAACTCAGGACCTTGTGTTTGGGAGGCAGGTGGCAGCACCACTGAGTGAAATCCCTGGCCCATGTAGTCATTTTAACATAAATGTAACAGAACAGCCATGTAACATACTGAGATAGGGTAGAGGTAAAGATTGGTAAAAATGGAGACAAAGAAAAGACTAATTTTAGAGTTGCATTTTGAAGAAAACTGCAGCTTCAGGGCATAATCAAAGTTACCCAAGGTTACAATGCTTTTTTCCTTCGCAGGAAACCCCAGGAAAAAAAAAAAAAGAAAAGAAAATTTCTATGGGCCTTAAAGCTACAATAAGCCTATATTGAGTCTGTACATTTCACCTGTAAATTGAATCCATCAGCTTTTCTTCCAATATGAAAGATTCACATTCTCTAAAACTTCCATGCGCCAGGAATTTTATTTCAGTGGTGCTGTGCCTGCCTCGCAAGCGCAAGGTCCTGAATTCAATCCTGGGTAGCAAAAACAAACAAACAAACAAACAAAAAAACCTTCGATCTTCAAGCAAATAGCACTATTAAGTAGGTAGCATACTTCTCAACTTCAAACACATGCAAACACCTTGCACTCTACAGCCCACTAATGGTTAACCTGGGAATACACATCCTAGATCACCCTTATTTATTTGAGACAGGCTCTTGCTACACAGTTCAGGCTGGACTTAAATTCGTAGCCATCTTCCTGCCTCAGCTTCCTGAGAACTGGGATTACAGGCGCGTGCCACCACCCTGTGGCTCTCCCACTTTCTTGCAATTTTTTCACCAAAGACTCAGCTTTTCAGGTCTGTTGTCTTGCTTCTAATTGCTGCATGGCATTCCTGGATGCGAAGCCTGTCACAGGTCCCAAGACGGGTACCCAGATGGCCCGGGAATCGCAGCCTGCACGTTCACCAGCAGCAGCCACACACATCCTGCGCATCCTCCCCGGGTGGGTGGGAGCGGGCTGGGCAGAGAAAGTCCGGAGTACCAGGTCAGCCCCCGGCTGACATCCGAATGCTCCTACTGCTTCCCTTCCCGGAGTCTGCTATGGGCTGGGCAGAAAGCGCGACACGTGCACCCCCAGGAAAAGCCCTGAATGCCAATCTCAGAAAAGCTTGCCCTGTACCGGATGGCGCGTGGGCCGTCTTGTGAGCATTAGGCCCACTTGGCTGTACTGAGGGAGGCCTGAGCCCTCACTTACCCTAGACTTGCCCCCATGACTCCCCACTTTGCTGATTCTGCTTTGGACCCATTTGCTGTGCTAACACATAGCAAAGAGTGTACCTCTGTGCGGAGTGCTGGCAGACCTGGCAGTGACTTATCAAACCAGATGGTGGCCTTGGGGAGCCCTAAGAGTGCCGGGGAGGGAACAGGTAGGCACAGAATACAAACACTACTCCGGGCGTGGTGGTGCACACCTCTAATCCCAGCACTCAGGAGGCTGAGGCAGGAGGATCTTGTGAGATCAAGGCCAGCCTGGGCTACAGAGTGAGTTCCAGGTCAGTCTCAACTACATAGTGAGACCCTGTCTCAAAAAAACCAAACCAAACAAACAAAAAGCACACAAACACTGGAGCTCAGTAAATCCAGATCTGCCCTTCTCCCCTCCCACGTGGAGCCCTGCCCCCAGCCCTTTTCCCATGCCCCTCTGCGCTCTTTCCTCAATTTCATCTCCCTAAATCCTTTGGTTTGTTTTTTGTTTTTAAGAGACAGTTCTCGCCATGTTGTTCAGGCTGGCCTTGAATTTATGGTGACCCTCCTGCTTCAGCCACCTTGGTGCTGGGGCTGCAGGTATGGGCCACCACGCCGGCCCCTGGCTAATCATTCATAATCCGCTTGGTGGCATCCTGTGTCTCTGTCCCTGCTCCACCTAGAATGCTGCCTTCTCTCCCCTGCCCAATGGCTCTTTCAGAGCGTGACCCACTGCTCACTTACAGAGATTCTGGCCACCACGAGGAAGGTTCTAGAGACCCTGTAGATATCAGCTCCAAAGAACACGACACACTGGGCATGGGAGCAAACACCTACAACCCCCCTGCACCAAAGGCTGAGGTAGAAAGGAGGAAAGAGGTTCAGGATCAGCTGGAGCAACTCAGCAAGACTGTCTCTGGGGCCAGGGATTTAGCTCAGTGGTTCCACCGCCTGCCTCACAAGCACAAGGACCTGAATTCGATCCCCAGCACAAAAAAAAAAAAAAAAAAAAATTTTTAAATTGTTTGAAATGAGGTCTCCCTAGTGTAGTTCAGGCTGGCCTTGAACTCACTCTGTAGCCCAGGCTGGCCTGAAACTCATGATGATCCTCCTGCCTCAGCCTCTCAAGTGCCGGGACTACAGGCGTGCGCCACTGTGCCTGGCTAAGACTGTCTCGAAGTGAAAAAAAATTTTTTGAGACAGATTCTCACTATATACTTCAGACTAGCCTCAAATTCAAAACAGTCCTTCTGCTTCAGCCTCCTGAGTGCTGGGATTGCAGGCGTGTACCACTGTGCCTAGCTTCAAAGTAAAAGTTTAAAAAGGGATGGGTAGGGCCGGGGATTTAGCTCAGTGGTTCTGTCACCTTCCTCACAAGTGCAAGGACCAGAGTTCAGTCCCTGGTACCACAAGAAAGGGGGGATGGGTATGTGGTTTAGTGCAAAGGTCCTGGGTTTAACCCTAAACATGGTCCCCCAAAAAGTGGGTGCTGAGATGGTTAAGTAACAATATGCACAAAGTACTTCTTTTTTTGTTTTTGTACCAGGGATTGAACTCGGGTCCTTGTGCTTGTGAGGCAGGCTGCAGAACCGCTGAGCTAAACCCTGGCCCTGCACAAAGTACTTCTAACGGTGCCGGGCACATTGTCAGCAGTCAGTATATTTGGTATTCCATATCTGTGGGTCCAACATCCACGGCTTCAACCCTTCACAGATGGAATATATTCTGAGGGAAAATACTGACCATGTGACACCTGGCTACAATCTAAGCCACTCAGAAGTTTGAAGAAGGATTCCAAAGTCAAGGCCAGCCTATGACCGACCCCAGCACTCAGGAGGCTGAGGAAGGAGAATTGCTGTGAGCTCAAGGCATACATAGAGGGACCCTGTCTCAAAAACAGCAACAAACAAATTCGGGGCCAGTCTGGCAAATTAGCAAGACCACATCTCAGCAAGGGATTGGGATTTAGGTTAGTGCCACTGAGCCTGCCTTGCAAGTGCAAGGTCCTGAGTTTGATCTCCAGCACAAAATAAAAAAATAAAAAAATAAACAATAAAAGGTTGAAGATGTAACTCAGTGGTAGAATACTTGCCTAGTATGCAAGAGGCACCGGGTTCAGTCCCCAGAACCTTTCCTGTTTATTTTTTCCAATCATTCTCTCATCTAGTATACACAACATATAACATTTTCTAATTAAGGGAAAAGTTTATATTCAGCCCTACAAATAAACTGGAACCAAATGCTTTTCTTTTGAGAAAGGAGAAAAATAATATTTACTGAATACTGTAAACCAGAGATCTTGATGTTTCTGGTTCCAGCCATCATCCAAACTGTCCAAAATATTCTCTGGCTTCATCTTTAGCCTGGGGTTTTTGTTTTTGTTTTTTTGAGATGGGGTCTCACTGTGTAGTTGAGACTGACCTGGAACTCACTATGTAGCCCAGGCTGGTCTCGAACTCACAGAGATCCTCCTGCCTCAGCCTCCCGAGTTGTGGGATTATAAGAGTGCGCCACCACGCCCAGCCTAGCCTGGGGTTTTTAACCAGGGCGAGTATGCTCAGGACAGAGGCAGTCTTGGGGCAAGAGCCCTTTCCTGGAATAGGGAGGCCCTGGCTTCCACTCCCAACACTGTGAAATAAATGATCGTTCATTAAAAAAGGAAAAGAGGGTTGGGTGTGGTGGTGCAAGCCTGTAATCCCAGCACTGGGGAAGTTGAGGCAGGACAATGGCCTTAGAGTCAAGGCGGGCCTGGACTACCACTCGAGGCCCTGTCTCGAAAAACCAAATCAAAACAAAAAGAAGAGGAACAGGAGGAGGTGGAAGGGGAGGAGAGAGAGAAGGAGAAAAAGGAGGAGGGAGTGAGGAGGAGAAGGGGAGGGGAAGAGGATGCAGAAGGAGGAGGGAGGAGGAG